TGTACAACTATGCTAGCACAGAGCTGCATTTCAACTTAGAAAGACTCTCCCCATAACCTGTAAAAGCTCTATGCAGGAAAGCCATACCCTTATAATAAATACATTTAATCTGTGCAAGGTAAGAGGGAAGAAATTAGCAATATAATCAGTAATCAGTAACTTCCTTGCCTTCATTTTAGGTTTTTATTACATTGACTTTTTTATTTCCTCCCTCTTACCTTTTGTCCATTCTTTGTGTGTTTATTTTTAATTAGTCCTTGCTCTATCAAATCATTCTACTCTTTGGAAGAAAATCGTCACCCTACACACAACCATCACCTCAAAAAGTATTATCTGGAAACAGAATCACATGGCGTTCTGCTCTGAGGACACACTTCTTCAGGCCCTGTAATATTTAAACTAATAAATTTAAACATGGAGCCATGTGTTACAGGGACTGCATCTGATGAACTTGACTATGAAGTGAAATATGAGGAAAAAGGCTGAAAAAATTTTTCCAAGTTCTGCAAGCATGTCCTTTAAGCACCACTCTATCTGGTCTGCAGAAAATCTACACAAACATTGGCTGCCTGTGTATTATGTTCAGCAGAAAACCCTCTGACTTTAATGGGCATCAGATCATGCCTGGCTGAATTTCTGATCTGTATAGAGATTAATTCTCTGTTAATAGTAGGACATAAAAGGGCTGAGTGAAGGGGCTCTTTCAGGATGCACATGCTGGTACTATTATCACTGCTATCAACCGCCCACTTGGAAAAAACAATTGCTGCACAATACAACCGAACAAAATGTTTAATGAACGGTGATGCTTGGCAAATGCAAGTACAACAGCTCACATAACGTAGCACTTTGCAATCAGCATGCCCTTAGGTCCACCTTTTAAAACGTCTGGACAGTGGTAAACAGCAAACCATTTTTAATTTCAGATATATGATCAGGCACACACTTAGCAAAACTAAACGTACTTTAATTTTACTGCCCGCAGTGGTAGGACGGCCTTTCTTGTCTGCTTGGAGGTTTTCAGGAAACAGAGCCTTTATAAAAGGTCTAGAAAAGAATCAATACAAAAGAGTTGGTATAGAAAGACAATTCAATGCCGGAATGTTATGGAATATGCTATTAAGAGTTGATAGTTGAGCAGAGTATAAACAGCTAGCTATGTTAAGCTGGAGGTATATGGAGTCTATTTTAAGATTAGTATTGTTCTAAGAGCTTTACGCAGCATAAAGATTTTCCTCTATTTAAGAAAGTCCTTAGAAACATGATCTCCACATTCCAGACCCAAAAAACAAGCATTTAGAAATAAAAGTGCATAACAAAAAAGGGCTACTTGTACACTGTCTGAGATAAGGCCCAGCAGGGCTGTTCAGCTCCTGAACAAATAGCTATCTGTAAATCATTTGATTCAGACTGTACTACCTTATATATTCATTCAAATTTGCAGAAAATGGAGATCAAGTAAAATGCAGGTGATACTGTTCTCTAGTACCATTCTATAAACTACTCTTTGCTGATGTTTATTTCCACTTCTATGCAAATGGTTTCACAAGCAGGAAAGTAAGGGGGAAGTTACGCCCTCTGCATCCATCTGAACTAATAGATTAGTCCTAGTTTTAAGCAAGTTTTGCTTACGTACAAATCACTGCTCTGCATGAGTTCAATCAAGTCCGTGAAAAGAACATCACGATTCCTCTCGCAGAATCCATCCATATCATAAGACACCTGGGCCAAGGTGGAAAATGATTGCTTGGTAAGTTGAGAATCCAATAATTAGTTTAAATTATGTCCTCACTAATAATTGTTCTGATCTTTTTGGCTAGGCTGATATTACTTAAAGATGCTACAATAAGTCAAAATACGATAAAATCACACTATAATAAGTCACAGTATATATTATTTAAATCTTTCACAACAAATATACTTACATGGATGTATTTATATTGAGTGGAAAAGAGTATTACGAAACTAGTAAAGGGAATATAGCACAAGTGAATTTAGTATTAAATGATAGAGAAGAAAAATATTTTGCAAAAGTGTTCATTGTTACCAAATATAGCAGCATTAAAATACTTCATGAATACTCTGAGAAATGTACCTAAATAAGATGGGGCTGTACATAATTATTCCACATTTATTGGTATATCATCATTTAATCATTCCTAGCTGAATCCTTTTAACCTACTACCATTATAATCAAGAAGGAAATTAATATTTTCTTCATTAATAAAGAATTAGAGGCACTTATTCACTACATAAATTTAATATTCAGGTTGGGTTAGTATGTTTGCTAGCAGCAAGGCCCAGATTTCTCTCTCCTAACTAGGGAGATATGTTAGGGTTTATTTGTTCTAAACTCTCCGGGTTGTCTCCTGAGATAATTTGGCTACTTGAAAATCAGTGGAGATGATATCACTTTCCCTTTCATTTCAGTATTGTTCTTTAAAATCCCATAAGGTAGATGTCAGTGTTGATTTGCCACATTACCTTTCCAGCATAATGATGAATGATAAACCCTTGGTTCCAGCTGTTGAAATGTTCATGAGTCCCAATCTGCATCTGGAGTTTCTGCAGGAGTGTTTGGTCAGCTCCTTCGCCCACTGCGTGCATTGTGGCACATACATCATCTAAAATGCTCATAATTCCTGGGGGATTCTTAACAGAGCAGAGACAAACAACAAAAAATAGCAAAAAGGAAGGGAAAAGACTATGATGCCAGCCCCTTCCCCTCCTCCGATCCTTTAAAAAACAAAATTGGTTACTACAAAAACACCAGAGTAAAGACTCAGGAGGAAGAATTCCCCTCACTCAGGAGGGCTCACAGTGGAGATTAGTGTCTACATGAACAGGCAAATAATTTAAGGAGATGCTGGTTCATGAGACACTGGTGACAGAGCGGGAAATGGAAGGGAAATGGGCTGTTCAAAAATATTTATCTAGTTTAGTTTATAAGTACTTCACAAAGTAATCCCCTTTCTTATTCCAGCAAAACACACACCCATGTTTCAGTTAAATATTTAAATTCTCCACCAGTTTAACAACTCTCAACTATCTAAAATTGTGACACAAACTCTATCCTTTTCCTAGTTATCCTGATGCAGACTGACCAAGTCTCAAGAGGTGGTAAGCACAAGTCACCATGTTATTTTAGCTACTGTTAAATATAAAAGACTGTCTGAAAATCAAAACAAAATTTCTGTCCTAAAAGGCTGTTTGATAAGTCAACATTTGTTGTCATGCCAGGTCAGGTTATAAAGACTAAACAGCAGAACATTCCTTGGAGCAAAAATGTATCAATCTTTTTAATCTATAAGATTTCCAAATATCTTGTTTTCGCTTGTTTAATTTGCTCCAATACCGTAAAGGAAGTTGGTATTGTAGCTTCCCCAAACTGAAATAGATCTCTCAGAGCCTGGGCGGGGAGGACTTATATCTGAGCTACACTTACATGTTGTAAAGTCCTTGATAAATTTAGAAGGATAAAGTTTCAATTTCCAACTAGTGATTTTATTTTTATCCATATGATTTTTCAACCATGTTTTTGGCCAATACCTTATATAACATGTATCTATCTTATAGCCTTTATAAGATATCTTATATAAGATTTATATATAGGCTTTGTATGACTCAGATACTGAACAACAGGATTTGCATTTTTTCCCGTGAATGTTCTTGACAGCAAAGCACTTGCCCAATTACTTTAGAGAAAAATTGTCTGTTTTTTCCATCTCTGTTTGTGCCAAACACTTACCACTTTGTTCTCTATGAGGTCACACACTATTTTGTTGTTGAAGTAATCTATTGGTGTCCATCTAATTCCTTCTTGCACATACTCTTCCTGTTAAGTAAAAAACAAGACACAGCTATTCTCCTACAGAAGCAGATTTACAGCGAGTGAGGTGCACCCAAGCTCTGCACTACTCAGGCTGAGGAGGAGCTGCCAGGTTTATGACTCCCTAGTGTGTGTGGGGAGGTAAATAACTGATATGATGGCTAAATCCTGCTATTTACTGCCAAAGAGCTGAATTAAAATCCTTCTCTGTTCTCCCTACGCATCTTGTGTCATTCATAGCCCTTGAGTAGTTACTGAAAAGAACAGGATTTTTTTTTTAATCAGTGAATTATTGTCAAATCACTTCACAAAGAGCAACAAAACGGGTTTTACAGTATCTTGATAATGCAGCTAAGCATTTGTATCCTTAGAATTATATTTAAAATGAAAGTTGTGGCATGCAGATTAAGATCCCCCCCAAACCAACACACACAGAAGTACATATAAAATGGAGAAGCATCCCTACTTTTTATTTCTGTATGCAATTACTGTAACCAGAAGGACAACTAGAGACTGACTGAAAAAAAAATTTAAAAATGATGATTTAAAATGTCTGTATCAGTTCAAAACATATGAGTCTAGCTAGATGCTTAACAGGTCATTTGTGTGCTCATCTGCACTGATCAGTTACTTTTATACAAAGGCACTTGTGTAGGGGCATTCTTGCAAACACTATCCCAATGCTGGTGCCAGGCGTGGGCTCCCACCGCACACAAAGCTCCTCTCAGCTGCCTGCTCTGCTTCCCCAGGCAGCAGCACACATTCATGTCATGAGGTTTTATTTTTGCAAAGAGCCTGCAAGCGGAGAAATGCAAATACTTTCAAAAGCACTTGTCTCAGTGATACATTTCTTTTTAAAAAAAGAATAAAAAGGAGCAAAATGGGTGTGGAGGAAACTAAGAAAAGTAGTGCTTTCCTGCTTAACTGTGTCACAGCCAATGAAAGCAGGGGGATGGAAGCAAGCTGCACTTTTCCACTTCTGTCAATGAGTCAGGGTGTGCAGCGAGGCTGGGCAGAGTCATATGACTGCTTAGCACACTGTATGAGGGACTGACTTCTGCACTGCTGTTTTGGAGCATGTCTGAAACCGATGTGGTTTACATTCTTAGGGCTAGCCAACAGCAAAGACCTTTTTCCTTTGTCTGGCTTAACAAGGCAAATTTGATCGTTACCAGATGATAAAACCTCAATTTTCCACCAAATGAAAAGGCAGTGGCTCATTTTATGAATTCAAAAATAACAAATGTCTGATTACCTGTTCTGCTTTCAGTGTCAGTTCAATAAAAATCTGCTGCAGTTTTTCATTAACAAAGTTGATGCAGAACTGTTCAAAACCATTTTTCTACAATACAGGAAAAAAATACAAATTAGTCTGATGCTCTATATACAGTAGTTGCTAGTTCTTCTGCTAGCAATATTAGGAGAAGCTTCAAAGGAATATTTTCGATGATGGATGGGTTGTTGATTTTACAGTCTTTCTGCATAATCTCAGATCTCTAAATAAAGATCAGTGACCTAATTCCTTTGAAGTTTCTTCAATACTTCATGTTTATTGAGTGAGACATTATTAGTGAGTATTGAATGTCCAGGAAGCTTGTTTTTTTTTTTTTTTTTTGCTTTGCCTCTGGTTACTGGGGTTTTTTTTTCTTCTTTGGGTTCCCTCTCCCCACTTAAGTAATAAGAAGAAAATCTCTCTCAGCTCAAGATCAGCTCAAACTCTGCCTTTTGCATTGCCTTACCTGAAATATTTCAAAGCCATAAATATCAAGGACACCAATGTTATATTCTTCATGTTTCTTCTCCATAGCCTTATTAATGGACTAATAATAAAAAAAAACACAAAATGTAAAACAGCATGGTAGATACCCTTGAATTATATATCTATATCCTTAAATCTTTATATTATAGTACTGAATTTCTTTAAAAATAACTTATTTGACTAGAATACAAATGTATGTAAGAGGGACTTTCACTTTAATAAAAAGCTCTTACTAAGAGCTAGGAAACAAACAGTACAGAATCCTGTTTCAAAGTTAATGAATTTTTGAGCACTATTTGTAGCAACCATTTTGCATTCACAAGAACCTACTCAGTTAAAGAAAAAGCAGCCCTCTCCCCCATAAAACAGCTGTAAATTGATGTTTGTGGCATTCTACAGAGAGTAACATGAATCTTCTCAGTAATTTCTACACTCCCCTCTCTTGCAGTGTCAATGCTGCTGACACAGACACCTAATAAGAATTAGGGAGCCGTCGTGACAAAGGGGACTTCTCACACACCCACACGGCCGGCGTGGAGCAGCCCTCTGCTCCCGTGGGGAAAGGTAGAGCCTCCCCTCACCAGCACAGCCTGGTTGGCGTCTCCTCCAGAGCACTTCAGCATCGAGAACAGAGTACAAAAGAGACCAGCATTTCCTCAAACACCCCAGCACTGGGGTGCTGAAGGGATTTCTCACCAGGAGAGGGAAAAGACAACGAGGGACCGGAAACATAACACACTGCAATTCTGCTCATCTGAAAATGCTTCATCACACAGGATAAAGCAAGATCCTAGCTTCACAGAAGTATGGATGCTGGCAGAAAAGAGGAAATGCCAGGATTCCATACAGGACAGTGGTGGCAGGAGGCTCACCCACTTCAGAAAGGGTATAAGCAGCTGTCTTCTAGCCAGTGCCTGGCATTTGATATGTGCAGTCCTCCTCCCACTGGACTCCTCAGTACTACTGCTAATGGTTAGGCCAAGGAGCCTGAAGGAGCATTTTAGATGCAGGAGATGATGGACAGCAAAAGCACCGCAAGAAATATTCCCAGTGTGCCTTCCCACACTGCACTCCCAATGATCAAATTCAACTTACATCCACCAGGTAATCAAAGACCCGGGCATGAAGGGCTTTGGCCAACGCGTCCCTGGTGTAACAGGCCTGTTCCACATTCAGGGTTACGTTAATGGACTCGGACTTGCCTCCCCACTTGCTGTCCATCTGTCTGCTGGTCAGTTTTTCCTTTAGGCGGTCCTGGTTAATTCCCAGGAGGAAAGCAGGGAAAGCCAAAACTGCAAGAAAGATTAAGGTTGCCAGACTATGATTTACAGACTGAATTCAGTACAAAATAAGAAACTCAGCGATATCTCAAATAATAATCAGCAGTAATAAATCTCATGAGACATGGCTTAAAAGCAAAAGAGTAGGGATTTATGTCTTAAAGATTTCCCTAAGCTCCCCCCGAGAACTTTCAGCTCTTTACTTATATCAGAGTTTTGAACTCTGTGGTTCAAACAAATCATTGTTGGAAGAGCTGGAAATAAGACATAAAACTCACACAAGAAATAAAACTGACAGCACTGAGATCTCTTTGTAAAAACACATATATTTAAAATACAGTACAGAAAGAATACTGATAACCATCTCCAAACAGTCTTTCCCTTTTCACTTCTAATTTGTAATTTGCAAAAAGCTTTAACTGGCTTGCATTTTTTTTTCTTTTGTTTTATAAATCCTTTCTTCTGGATATACTTTGCAAATTCTGTTTTCTCTTGTGTAAAAGCAGAGCAGAAAAAGACATTTCTGCAGTAAGGAACCACAAGGTCAGAACTCCATGCTTTTCTAAGCTTTTCTAACAGAAGTTAGTTACAAGCGTTACACACCTTAAGGAACGGAAAAACAGAAACTGGTTGAAAGCATACAGAAATAGCTTCCAAGGGCATCTCTAAGTTCCTGTTGCCCTGCCACTAAACTACATAATCCTCTAACAATGTTTCATCGATATTGCAGTGCTCCACTCCTCTGTTGTGGAGAGGATGTCAAATAATCACTTAGCTGCCACTTGTGCTTTGTACATCTACAACATACTCCTTTCAACCTTTTAGTATGCTAATTCCCAAGTATTTTTAAAACTGAAAAAAAAAACACTCCCAGCTCTCTGAAATCCAATTAATTACAACCAAGACAGGCTGATTAAATTTATCCTAGGGCACTAGTAATCAAAGCAGAGGAATTGGCAACATCTGCCAACGAAGAGCACAGGAAAAGGACAAGTCTTATCATATCCTTTAAAAGAGAAGAAAGAATGTGGGGAATTATAGGCCAAATACTGGTTCATTATTTATACTGGCAGTATATCTGTAGGTATTACTGCAAGGATTTATGAAGAAAGCAAGATAATACATATTGTTATACCATAGGTATCTTAGAAACTCCTCCTTCATAGCGTTAGTGATTTGATGGAAAGGAAGAAGTGCTGAGCTTGATTTGATGTGTCTTGACATTAAAAGACCAGATTATTTTCTCTAGTTAAGGACTGTTATGATGTATGGCCTATTATTATAAAGCGGGGCATACATGTAATAGAAAAAAATATATCCTCCAAGAGTAATTATCAATAGTGCTATTACAGGAGAGCTATAAACTGAACCTATGAAGAAAGGCTGAAAAAGATTAGGTTTGTTTCTTAGGTTTTCAGGAAGTTTAAAATAGAGAGAGGATATGGATCTTTCAATAGAAAACAACCCTAATGAGGAATGGTTTATCCAGAACATCCATCCAGAATAGTATTTGGAATGATTTGCAACAATTAGTATAAATATTAAGAAAATCTTTTCTACTGCAAATATATTCAAGCACTAAAACAGATGATGACATTTCTCACAAGTTGGTCCTACAGATGATGACATTTCACACAATTTCTATTATTTCATACTCAAAAACTGGAAAAGAATTCCTTAAATTCAAAATGCAAAATTATATTCCTATTAAGACAATGGCATTCTACAAGACAAAACAGAGGCCTCACTCCTAACATCATTTTTGGAAGACTTTGAGTTTGCAGACTTGCACTATGAAAAATGATGGACCATGTTTGGGTAAGTAGTTCAAGACTGCACCTCAACTCATGCCATCTGGGTTTCAGCCTATTGCTAATTCTATAAGAGCTTCCAGAGGTACTTACACTCTTCACTCTCCACTCCTGCATAGTTGCCAACTTCTTTGAAGCTGATATTTCCCAAATGCAGTATTCCTGCCACTATCTGCAGTACCAATGCCTGTTCCTCTGCAAAGATCCCAATCACATCCATTGCATGCTGGGGAGAGAGAAAAAAAAAAAAAAAAAACACTGCATCAGTCAAAGAATCCATTCAACAAAGGGATTTGCCTTTTTTTTAATAAAATATTTTTTAAAACTGATTAAAGAAATTTGAATTCTTCAAAAGAAGAATTCTTAAGACAACCAATCTTCATTAGACTGCGCTGATGTTTCAGGAGTTATAGATATCAGATTTTTTTTTTAAGTAATTATGTAAAGGAACATCTAAAGCATATAAAAGATGTGGTAGCAAATTAAATTCCGGGGCAATTAAAGTTACTGAACAATGAACATCATTTTTTTTTCTGTGCCACTAAGAAATTTAATTATTTCACTGCAAAATGGAAAACAATGAACTCAAGATATAACGTTTTTATTCCTTCTACACGGATACTTTATCTTCTGAGACTAATGAATACAAAGCTGTACTAGATGATCTGATCTGTTTTCTAACTCCCTTTTCCAAGCATTTTTAGTTACGCTGCTTTCAAAAAGGCACGGAAGAGCAGTCACCATTAAGAACCTGGCTAACACTACAATTTTTCCCCCTCTGTCTTTCAATACAAGTTCCTCACTGTGTTGCATTTTCACATTTTTATGCTACAGATTCCAAATATGCAGTTCATCTGCATTCAGTGAAATTCCAGTACGTCTGTACCTTTCTGAAAGGGGTGCAAAGAGAACACAAATATGTTTAAAAGGCCTGTAAATCTAAAGACTGACAGTTATCTTCTCAAGGCTGCCACAAAGGAAAAGGACTCAAGGTAAAAATTAATTGTTGCAGCTGCATGAATTTCTCATTACCACAATCATACATCAGCATCTTTGCTAAAAATGGACAGTGGAATTAACGTACATCCACCACTAAATCAGTGAGAGAGCAAGCCAAAAACTCACCAGAGTTTCCTGGAAATCAGATTTGTCGTTGATGTCATCTACCTTGTAGGACCCAGAGAGGCTCAGGTAGTAATAGTAGTCCATACTGGTGATGCCAAGACTGCTTTTTTGCTCTGAGGAGGCCCCTTCAATCAGCTGCAAAAACAAATTCACCAAACTAGGCATCATGTAACTATCTTCAGCAGAGATGAGGCAGCTCAGAAACAGGTGATTGAGTCTGGAACTGCTCGGACAGATACGGCAAAAGCTGTGCTGGATTCGTAGCTTCCAGTGTTTTGCCAGTTGCTTAAACAAAAAGTCCAGGCTCAGTCACTCCCATTTGGGTGAATAACTTATTTCTAACTGTATGAAGGTCAAACTGGGGCTGATTCAAATGTCTTCCGTTATCTCTATCCCATGAAGACAAAGAAGTTTTTCGCACTCCACAATGTTCTAGCCCAATCTTCAGGAGCAGCTTGTCCTCCTTTCCTACTTAAAGGCGGGCGGAGTTGAGAGAACCAAAAGCAGCACTTGTGACTGAGGCCCAGTGTCTTCTATCCTCCCCGTGGGGAGTGTCAAGCGAGTTTTGAACTGCTCCAACACTATGTTGACATCTGCTCTATAATGACCTGTTATGGCTACTAGGAAAACAACCAAGTGAAGTGTTGCTCAGTCACACCTTTTTGCATCGTTTAGGCCAACATGGCTGAGGAAAGATACCTCAGTGTAATGAAAAACGTTCCTGTCTTTCTTGTGATGCCCAAGGAGAGACTCCTCAGACTTCTGCACAGTACGTATGGTTGTGTGTAGACACAGCTGCAGTAGAAAGCAATGAACAAGCACTCCTACTGGAGAAGTCTGAGGTCCAAAGTCTTAAATTTATGTTAAAACCAAGAGCCTCGCCAGACTGAGAAAAATCAGTGGGACAATGCACAACATTCACATACCTCAGATGAGGAGACTGCACAGCGCCTGGAGCAATTCCAGGGCCAGGTTTCCAGCCTCACCATGTCACCTTGACTTTATGTGAGGTTGTTACATCACTTACATTGCACTGCCTTTATTCTAATTTTGTAGAACCTGCTCAATTGGGACTTTAGCCAGTAAGAAACTTACATGTCAAGGACCAATAAATGCAAGGAAATCCACAAAGAAAAGCCTTAAGAAATGTATAATAATAATAATAATAATAAACAAGCAAAAAAGAGAGATGCTTGGAAGAGTCAACAGACATTATCCTAAATTAGTCATCCTAAATAATATTCTAAATATTCCAAGATGTGCTACAGAATTCTAGAGCAGAAGGTATAATTATATAGACCAGTTTAATAATTATTTTTAAAAAGTCGTTGGAAAGTTCTCACTTCCTATTACATTAAAATGGACTTTTCCATTTGGGCATCCGCTGTGAATTTCCAAGCTGAGCCATTGAATTGCTTAAGTATTTTTTTTTCTGGAACTGAAAGACAACTGGGTAGATCTATGTTAGGCAGTGTCCTACCATGTTATGAAGCTTTCCAGTGATAACCAAATTATTTTCTTGATTATGCATTCAGTAGTCTCAATGTTTCAATGCACATGAAAAGCTGATAAAAATTATTTTCAATAGTTGATTAAGGAGACCCTTCTGACCTGGTAAAAAATGTGAAAACTCCTCTCTCCAGGATTCCTCATTACGACTCGAGATTTTTCCAGGAGGAAGTTGGAGATTTTCCCACCATCTGGCTCTCCACCTGGGCTAAACTGGATTTCAAAGTATTTTCCCTGCAGTAAATAATTACAGAAGTTGTTAAATGATTAGTAAATAATAATTTGTAATCAAGTACTTGTTATATTATTTCTCAAGGGAGGTTACTAGGTTATTTATTCTTTATGGATACATAAACTCAGATGCCTCAAGACTTAACTAAGCCTTTATTCTTAAACTATCACATACAATTGTTTCCATGTCCATTTATACACTGCTAGACTCAGGATAAGACATCATGCATTAATGCAAAAGCAGAGAGAAAGTCAGTGGCTTCTTTTCCTTGCTGAGTCTTGCTCAGTGTGAATGAAACTAAGAGCTTCCTGCATTGGAAGTAACTTTAACAGGTTTATGACCGATGGCAAACGGCTTCTGCTTGGAAATGAGGCAAGCCAGTATCCTTTTGTTCTGGAGAGACATTAATTGCATCGATAATCATGTTATAAATAAACTCTTCCATTAGCTTTGCATAATAAAATGGCCAAAAGCAATGGAATACAAAGAGGTTAATTAGCTTTTATCCTCATTGTTACCAATCTGACTGCCGACATCAATAGAGAGCTTTTAGAAGAAAGGACAGTTTTACAATTTTCTCTTCTTGCAAAATGCAGCAGTCATGTTTTACATGTCATCAAAATACTTATATGATATTGCATACAGGTAGATATACTCTCTGTTTTTCCACAAAGTCCCCAAAATAGGAAAAAAAGAGCTTACTTTCCTTACAGCTGCTAATGGATGTAATGCTACTTTTACAAAACTGAGTTCTGTCTAACCAGAATTAACCTCAGATTTGCACTGTGATTTTGGTGTCACTCCATTTTACACAAATTGTGCAACACACTTTCCTTCCAAATCTGTGTAACTTTTCAAAACTCCCTCTGTGTTATTTAGTAAACACTTATTTCATAAGATTAGGTACTTTATAATGACAAGCTGAAAGTAATTCCTTGCTAGGTTTTGTACATTTTAGCAAACTTATTTCCCATTAATCTGCTAAAAAAAAAAAAAATTAACTTATTGTACCTGACCATGAAAACAGGCCAGTTTGTTGCTGGAAAGCTATTTCCTTACGGATTAAGTAGTTGAAAAATAACTTGTGACAAGCATGTATTGTAAGAGAATCAAATCTGCAATCTGAAACACAAGCCTCTTAAAACACAATTTATGTTTTAAATGATACTTTATACTTTACCTGTATTTAATAGTCCTTTGGTAGCACTTCTTGAACAATAGCTATCTTATAGCACAAAAGTTGAAAGAAGCAAATAAGAGTTAGAGGAAAAGCACTTACGAATCTGCTGGAGTTGTTGTTTCGTACAGTTTTTGCATTCCCAAAGGCCTCCAATAAAGGGTTGGACTGCAGAATAATGTCTTTCACATGCTAAAATTTTATGAAATAGAAGAAATACAGATTTGGAAATACGTATTTTTTTTTTAAGTTCTTGCTGTTTTTCTAGGAAACCATGACACTTCAATTATACATAAAATAAGCGAGAGAGCATATACCTGGAAAAAAATCCTCTTGCTCAGACAAAGAATACAATCTAGACAAACAATGCAATCTAACTTTTTTTTTTCCACAGAAGTTCTAGTTTCTATTTCTGAAGAAAATCCCATAAAACTGAACAAAATGGCAAAGGCTGCAAACAACTCATCCTTCTGCCTACTGCCCTGCCAAGCAACACAGGAGTTAAATTGAACTGTGTTTTCTCTGTTGTCTTTTCTGAAACAGCCTCCTTCCTCCACACAAGCACTTAAATTTTTCTGGGGGTCTGGCCATGGGCAGTGAAGGCAGAGCAGCATGAACTGCAGGATTTGCGAGGGCTTCAACAACCTGCCTCAGGACCAGTGATGCTGCTGCCCATTTGATTAGATAGTATTAACCAGCCTGTTCCTATCATTTCTCTCTCATTCCAGGAGTCAGAATATTGTTAAGCTGATGGCTTCTGAAGAGACCTCCTGTATGCTAGGATATCTTGGAAAGACCCAGAACATCTCAAAAGAAATGTTTCAGGCATAGTGTCAAATTCATCAACTGTTACCTTTGTAGCCACTAACAGTATTTTTAATTTTATACAACGAGATGGATTTTTTAAAAAATCAACCAAAATATATATTTTTGAAGTAAAGTGCGATTAACTTCATTCTAAAAATAACCCAATGCATGCTTTCTCTGGCTTTCTACTGAACTGTTCTGTGCAATGTCCCCCTGTCACTTTTGCTCAAAACTAAACAGGAAGAACGCACTTACCATCAGACTGCAACAAGGCAAATACATAACAAGTAGCTGCTGCTTACCTATCACTGTCTGTCAATTAACAAATGACCTTATTTAACTTCATTAAGGGAACGTTATGTCTAATTCACTACATTAGATTTAGTTAAAAGGCTTACATTGATTGCAGGCATTGCTGATACAGTTTTTAACAAAAGCAACTACTTGCTGCTTCAGCTAGCTTTTAGAAACACTATTGCCTCATAAAACCAGACCATGTTCCTGCTCTTTGCTCTCTAATGTATACACAAAACTCATAACGGAAGCAACAAAAACATGAACAACCAGTTCAGTTTTCAACAGAAAACCAAGCTGGAGTCAGGTCCTCGAAGAAGAGGTTGTGGTTGTTCCCAACAACAGGGCCGTTACTGGTGAAGAACAGTAATTAAACTGCCTTTTCCCCCTTAAAAATGCTTACGTCCATGATTTAGCTTGGAAGCTGGGAAGCCGCTCGGGTTTCCCCTCGCGGCTCCACAGGCGTCTCGCGCGCGGCCTGTGGCGCTGCCCCGCGGCCGCCTCCCTCGCGCTCTGCTCGCGCCGCAAGGTTACTCCACATCAACTCACCTGCACTTTGGGGCCACCTCCGGAAATTTTAGAGACATAACTCATGATATACTTAGCTGCTACAGTCTTCCCAGCACCGCTTTCCCCACTACGAAAAAAAAAGTAAAATAAAATAAAATAAAAAGCCATCCTGTTAGCTGGTTTGACGTGCAGACCACAGGGAAATCAGTCAACACACAAGGCCGTTCTGCCTAGGTGTGATGATACCAACGGGACAGAGAACACTGTGAAAAACTTAAAATGTCAGACATGAACAGAGCACCATGACCCAGTGAGAAACAAACTCATATACATATACACCAAATATACATTAGGTAAGTTGGTCACATACAGACAGGGACATAGTACTGCGGCATGATACTTGGATATGTTTGTCAATAAATAATCTTGAATGAAACATCTTGCACTGACACCAACATCTCTGTTGGATTTCAAAAGCAGGAAAATATATAAATTGAAAAATAAATACGCTCAAACCAAGATACTCAAAACAGCACAAGGGTGCCAAGAACACAAGTCCCATTCAAGTTCAGCGCGATTTTGGGCCGCACATGCCAGGCCAGATGCCCACCTTAGTTCAAGAGGCTTTTGTTTTAGGTGTTCCTGAATGAAATAATGAGACATTATTAATCACATCCTGAATGACGGAAGAACTACCTTCCTGTTCCTGTACCTCTTGACACAGGGTACAAGAAGTTTTAATATCCCACACTAGCTTTCACAATTCCTTCCTTCCCTTAAAACATTAATCTCAATGGTAAATATATTTTATAACATTTGTAGATTTGCTTCCTCGCTCTTAGCAAGAGCTTCTTGAGAGGGAGAAAAAAACTGGCATGTCAGAACTTTATTTCATACCTTGAAGCTCTCCTCATTTCAATAGAAGTGTTCCAGTCTTGCATAAATCTTGGCGCAAAAGTCAGCTTTGGCTGTAAGTAATTAACCCTGGGCAACTACAGTAACACAAAGACCAACGCACACATGTTGCTTCAGTGTCTCAGTGATATCTGAAACATTTTTTCTTGTGTGGAAAACTGTGCTTTGGGCTTTTGAATAATTGCAGTGAATGCTGACTCTTCTATCCTGCGCCTACTTGTTCCTGGATCCGGATCAAGTGCACATCTTTTCCTGAGCAAATTTTAGCTATATTTGCTAGAGAAACATCAGCATGTCCTGCACTGCAAAAGGACTTGCTAAGAATGCCAGCTCATAGCTTCTTCTCAACATAAGTAACGGAGACATTTCCAAATGTCTCCCATAATATAAAAAAAGCTCCCCAAAACTGCCAGGCTTTAATATAATTAAATAAAATAATAATATTATTTTACAGCTTTAAGGCTTCCAAACAATGTAAAAATACAGAAGGGAATTTTTGCCAGGGATGTTTTCACACTCTTGTCTTCTCTTGACTGCAGCTGTACAAATCAGAGAGGAAACTTGAAAATGTGAAAAAACAATTTTTGATCATCTATGTTGTGAGACCACAGTGCAGTCTGCATCATGTCTTTTATTACTCAAACCACTTCGTCCTTTCCTACACATAAAGGAGAAGGAAAGCTTTATTACCGGTATCTACTAAATTCACAGGAACCGGCTGAGTTTGCTGGATGACAAACTATATTTAGAAGTCCATGTCAGCAATAGTTGAAGAATTAAAAATAACAGTCCTTCAAGCCAAAATTTGCTAACAGTAAATTTGCTCATTGTATTGCAAAACAAGACACACAAGCCAGTATATCCTGAAGCTATTCTTGAGCTTATAAGTAAATACAGTCCTCAGCAGAACATAGAAATAGATCTGGAGCCCAACACCAAATGCATACGACCAGATATCATTTATCAGTCAGTAAAAAGAAACACATTTCTTCTAGATTCTATTAAATATTTTCAAGAAAAGGAGTATCCAAAAGAATTGGAACTTTACGCCAGCAAAATACAAGACAAAATTAGCTACCTAAAATATATATTCACATACTTTTTTGAAGCCTAACCCTAAGCCTCAGAATGACTTTAAACAGCTTCTGTTACCTCTCACCTATCACAAAACAAAATCCAAATTTCTCAAATGTTGCTCAAGTACCTTGTTGTAGTTATTTTGCTGTGCAGCCAAACAAAAAGAGGAAAAAAGAAAGAAAAACACGGCCGAAGTGCCGCCAGCCCTTGCGTAGGGACGCCTCGATAGGCCGTCAGGCTGCATCTTCCCCTGGCAGTCACTGGACTGCTGTCAACCAGCACGTTGCCAGCTAGCTACTGCAGCTGTCACAGATGCTGCCTGAATGATACAGCAGCCAAAAATCTGCACCTGACAACTTGGCTTTCCAAAGACACCCAACTACCCCTAAAATTTGGTGGATGTAATTTTCCTATCCTCTTTCAAGCATCCCAGCAAATACTCGCATGCTACAGGGTAAAACCAACTGCAGCTGGGAACTTACTCCAAGAGTCATACCTAATCTGGCCCACTTCTCAGTTAGAAGATATTTTAAAAGCTCTTCCTCTAGGCTATTTTCGAATGATGAACACCACCAGGGGAAGAGGTGCTGGAGGTGAAGTAAGAAATGTTTAGAAGAGGGGCAGAAAAATCTCCAAACAAGAGTTTTATTTGATGCCTAAATTACTCTCCTCTTTGTTCAAATTAAGTGCAGCTTTTAGTACTCATTCTGCAATGGCTGTCATGGAAATCGATCTAGAGGAACTTAATTCCATTTTATTGATAGTCACTGTTTGGATCTAAGTGGTCTTTTACACTAAATGCATTTGGCTGAAAGATTGCCTTGCAGAGCTTGCTTTAGATTTATGTGTGCATATACCTTTCTCCAGTTTTAAAGTTTATTGATCAAATACTAGTAAATTGCTCCAATTAAACTAGGACAAAACAGGATGCTGATACATTACTTATGAACTGAAGTAACTTTATCTGAGGGGATGGTATCTTGCTTGCAGCAAGGCTCAGGTGCTCATCTGCCACACGGGAACTGTGGCAATGCCAGCACATGATTCTCAAGCAGAACCATTCCCACATCTCTCTCGCTATTCTGAGGCCATCACAACTATTGCAAGAGGATAAAACATTTTTTTTTTTTGATTGGTAGTTTTAAATACCTTGAAGGTACAAGGGTTTCTTAAAGTTGAAGAAGAAATGCTAAATGGCTTAAAACAGCCAGAAGTGAATTATGGAAAGTAAACTATGATACTGATAATTCTAACCTAGAGACTTTACTTACAAAAAATAAAAATGTTATATATTCTCCATCACTAACAAATAAAGAGATACTGCTTTAATACTGTTACAGAATCCCCGTTTCTTTTAGTACTGTTGGCTACTTAAAAAAAAAAAAATCTTTTTCAGCAACATCAATTAACCCTTGGTTATAATCAGAATAAAATTGCAAATGCAGAAGAAAAAAATTTAGCTCCTTCCTTCACAGAGACAATACAACCCAGGGATTAGATAAGCAACATCCACACAGGACTCCATTCTTCTCCCTAAAATTAATTTGTCGAATGACATTTAATTTAGTCTCCCTGGCTATAGCACAATATCAGTAACGCTTATCTACATCATCAATACAACATGGAAATTTTATTACTAAATATTTCCTTGCAGATCCAAGAGTCCTTTATAAAGAACACTGTATACATAGAATTTTCTGCTGTGCTTGGATAAGCTTGTCAGTTTGCTTACAAACAAAATTTGATTTCTTTAATTATGCTCAAAGTAACCTCAATAGCAAAACTTCAGTGGATTATTTTTCCCTTCTGCAACTGAGTTTTTGCCTAATGTTTCTGCCTGCGTTAGGTTTAGGTTCATACCACTTCCTCATTAAAATTCAACCACATCTCCAGCTGGATTCTGAACTGGGTAATTTTTAGAGGATTCAGTCATCTGAGGCTTCTGGAAAGTTGTGATATAGAAGCCAGCTATAAAATTTCATATTAAATTTGGAATATCATCATTTTGAGAGAAAGTGAAATTCCTTACTAAAAAAAAAAAAAAAAAAGGCATGAGGTACAAGCGCTCTCTGTTAGCATGCCTTTGAAATATGTAAGATATTGACATGCCTTTTCAGGTGTTCAGCCATCACACCTAGCTTTACTGTACCAAAAATTGCTCCATGGAAGTGGAACATACACTAAAACGAACTGAAAAAACTGCTTTAAAGTAACTGCAACATCTCATGGCAGGAATCACAGAAAGAAAGGGAAAATAAAGTCTTTGACTGTATGGAAATGCAGGACTTCAAGAACAACGTGGAAACACAGGTGTTCATTGCTACACAGCACACAGGTACTAACGGTGAGCGCCGCTGTCCTCATCAGAGGGCGGCGGTGCCGATGGAGCGGGAAGCGGCGGCCGCGGCCCTTCGACATCAGCGTCTGGGTGGGAAACTCATCCCAGCTGGACCAGGAGGGGCCCGGTCGCCACGGAGGGAGAGCCGCAATCACCTCCTGTAGCGGCCGCTTCTAGGCCTGGTTCAACAGAGACATTAGATAATGTGCTGGGCCTCCACCACACCTAAACACCAGGGAAGATCAAGGTGCCACTTCCCAGGAACACGCTGCCCTGCCATCCCTGGCCTGGCCCCGCGCTGCTCGGTGCAGCCACATGCACCGGCTCCCCGCTCCCCAGCTATAATTACACTTGTGTTCATATAATTTTCTTAGCACATCCACACATATGCTGCAATTATTGCACTAACGAAACAGGCTTGCCTGGCCCTGGGTAGGCTGTTTGGTGAGATTTTTCTGTTTTAATTAGTATTATCATATAAGAAGATTATACCTGGTTACACTCTCTACTAAGTTTTTCAGGGAACTATATTTTCTTTCGGATCTGCTTTCCTAGTTAATGCTCCAGCTCTTCGAAGAGCATAAGTGCATTATTAAATGTGGTGGCAAAAGCCCTCGCGACCCTCACGCACCCACTGCCAGGCTCTTCCCTGCAAATCTGCACCTCCTCGACGGGATCCAGAAGAGTTTCCTGCCCAGGGCTGGAGCAGGGCCCAGCAGGTGTGTCACTTGGAATCCAACAAATAATCCCTCTCCCTAAGGTTCCCTGGGTTCCTTGTGCCCTTCAAGCCAGGCACAGCCTTTTCCAGCTGACAGGTAATCAGTCCTTTCTATGGGTAATTTCCTCCTTTCTCATTGCCTCCATCTTAAGGGGAAAAATCAAACCTGGGCCTGTTGCTGTGCTAACTTGCTCTGTTGCTTCTTTTCCACCAGGGATTTTCAGTGAAGTCACTACAAAATTAGAATTGTTGTGAACAAGAGAAGCAAATCTGCATCTCATGATAACCATATTGTCATCATCATTTTCTGATTAAACTCCCTCGAATAAAATGTAATGTAAGAGGAAATAAACATCCCATGAGACAAACTTTCATGGAAAAAATATGGTTCACTGAAATGCAAAGATTGATTTAAAACCACTTAAGCTCAGCAGACATTTGTGGGACCCAAGGCAGACAGACAGACCTATACCTCTGTTTCTTTAAGAACTGCCATTCCAGGGGCAGAGGTGGAAAGTCCTTGGCAGCTACGAAGTGAAATGGATGTTGGAGCAGTGGCCACGCAGCTAGGTAAAACATCCACTTCACCCGAAGAGCTGCAGGGTCTTGGGAGCTGCCAGTCTTTTGTGAATCTGCTCTGGGGAGTTGGAGCCTCTGGGGGAGCAGGCCGTTAGTTACCACCTGGCTGATGTGCACACATCTGTAATCAACCCTTCTCACATACCTACAATCATTTCCCCCAGCCTAGTGATTAAAATGAAATAATGGTGAGGACAAAATTGATTTGCTAGTATCATTCTTTGTAGTCTCTGACCAAAGGGGAGCAAACTTCCTGAAAGCAATAAAAGCACAATTATTTTCAAAAGAAAGAAAAAGAAATTTTAAAAGAATATGCTAAATGCAATCAATGTGAGAGTGTGTATTTAACATCTATAGCTATCTATGGCTGTTATAGCCATTAACCCATCCCTCATGTTGTCGTTCAAGCTATTGCGACTTCAGTATTCGGCACGGAGCTGACTACTGGAGAAAGCAATTTCTCCTGTTAAATTGTCATCAGTATTCCACTGAGAACTAAAGGGAGTGCAGAAAGTACTTAATTACCCTAGGAAAAAAAAAAGATACTCAGTGATCATTGACATAGCAGATTTTTAGTATTAAAAAAAAGACTTTTCAGTTTCTTCAAATTGAAAAACAAAAGAATACAAACAGGACAGAAGACAATTTCTTTCATCAAACTTTGTCTTACCTAATAATGACACACTGGTTTTCTCTGTCAATAATCATGTTTCTGTACATGCTGTCTGCAAGAGCATAAATATGTGGTGGGTTTTCATACTGTGCCTAGGAGGGGAAATAGAGCATATATTTTCAACAAGAATTAAACAAAGCAGAACAATATAAATCTTTGCTTAAATCGGAAGAGTTATTTTCCAGGAAAAACAATTCTGCCTCCCAACTTTGCACTGAATTTTCTCTGGAATATTTTTGTTTGTTTATATAATAAAAACAAATCAAAGCCTCTGATTTTGTTACCAATCTTCCATTCATCCATAAGTTTCTTCTCGACTATTGTAAACACTGTGTTCTAAAAATGGGCTGTGCTTGAAATGCAGCACTTGCTCAAGAGAAACTCATACAATTTAAGCCTATTCCAGCCCCGGTCCCATGCTAACAATAGCCTAGCTGGAGGCCAGCACAGAGCCCGGTGCCCTGCGGCCGCGCTCCCGTCACAGGACCCACTCCGACACAGTGGCCTCCCCTGCGGACATGCCTGGCTGGAGCGGAGCACTAAACTGAATTCAGACCCTCGTGTCCTGCTGCTGATCCTCTCTTCACTTACATTTGGGAAACTGGCATCTATTCTTAGCATCTCCTTTTTGCCCATTTTTTGAGATCTCAGTCTCCCAGTGCACTAATGGCCCGTTTTTAATGACTAGTTTAAAAACTGCCTTGGCAAGGCGCAAAAATGGATACGGACCAGAGCTAATCAGTATAAGAATTTTCTTTAGATACTGATTTGATGTTTCGGGCAACCCAGCCCAAGACATCCTCACGGGAGAGGGACGTTCTCGCAGACCAGGAGGGCCCAGGCCAGGAGAGTCCTTTTCCAGCCCCCTCGCCCCGGGGCGCTACAGACCATCCACTTACAGCTCCCTGGTACATCTCGATTTCCTTCTCCCCGAAGTACGGCATCTGCTTGAAGGGATTCACCGAGATCAGTACCGAGCCGATATAGGTCTGCATTCACGAGCAGTCAAGGTCCGTAAGATTGTCTCAGCAACTATATTTTCGTAAAACCTTATCACTAGTGGCTGCCATGTAACTTTTTAATATATTAGATAAAACAATAGAGCTTCAAAGTAATATTAAATAACCATGGCTTGTAACATTTGTAATAAAAATGAAATTACTAGGCTTACAAGACTGTACACAGATCATACAATGGGAAACTTTTATCATGTCAAAATATTCATCTTCTTAGAACAAGCTAAGTTTACAAGCACACACTGACTGTCCAAATCTGACACATTCTGAATAAAAATAGAAAAAGGAAATGGGATATTTGAACTGTGTCACCTCTCTGTAAGGGTCATTTTATCAGTGTTGGAAAAAGTTGTTTTGACCTTCACAGAATGAGCAGCAGGGGCAGATTCTGGTTGCGCAGAGCAGCACGCACAGGCGGAACAGCCCCCACCGAGCTGAACTGCTGAACTTTTACATAAGACTATATTACTGTGATGTCACACCATAAAATAGTGTCACATGATAGAGAAAAACTACAAATCAGTGAACATAATCTCTGTATTGTTAATCTGCAATGTTTTCATCACATATTTTTTAATTTAATTCGAAGGAGACCAACAACATCTGGATCTCCAGAATAATAAATTAAGCATTCATTGTGTCAGCATAAACATCTAAAACGACAGCTTTCCATTGGCAAACAATGTCAGCATTTTCTGGGAAGCTTTGGTAGCTTTGGTAATCTCTATGCAAAGTGGCACAGAAAAACGCTCATTCATGGGTGGACACACAGACAATTCAAAGATCAAGAGACGCTCTCCCATGGAGAATGACAAGTCTCCAATGAACTGCAAAGGAGTTTTCTTTTTTCCTCCCACACAAAGGAATTAAAATTCTTTAAAAGTAGAATCCTATATCTCATGTAACCACAAACTCCTTTGGTAAAAAAAAAAAATTAATCCTGCTTCAACAGAAACATCATCTCTTTATGTAAAGCTTCCACATTTTTTAAGAGAAAAAAAAAAAAACAAGTAAAATGTATTTATGAGCATGAAGCTCCCAAGAGTGGGAGAATATGAAGTGTTCCAAAGGGACAAATGTGTCTGTGTGACTAACAGCAAGAACACATTTTTTCTGGCCTCTATATTCTGTCACAAATCAGTTTGACAAATCATCTCTATTGCATTTCCATAAGGCAAAATTGTGTATAGTGCCATTTTCCTGAGCGGAAGATGCACATAAATGTGAGCACACCCTTATGACAAAGTTAGGCAGTCTGGGACGAAATGTCGACACAACTGCAATGCTGCTTCTCTCTCAGGCCTAAGCTGGGTTGCTATTAAGTCTTATTATCTGAACATATGGAAATAGCAAGGAAATGTTAAATTTCTCTCTCTCTCTGCAAAACAAATTAAACTCTTCAAGGAAACTTTTCTCCAGATTCTTTTAAGTAGTACAAAGACCAGACTAGAGCAGAAGGAGAAATTAAATCACCATCTAGCATATCACAATGCTGACTAGTCTACCCAATTTGTCACTGCTCATGTCATGCTGTGAAAGCCAAAAATGAAATAGTGAGGAGTATTTTGTTTCAAAGAAGTTCTTCGATACATTTCCAAAAGAAAAGCAAACTTTTGCTGCTAATATCTATTTTTTTCTGTTGGGTTATATGTTCAGGTATTTGAATTTTCATATTTTTATTAATCACAGTTAAAAAATGAATAAATAAGTAAGTCCAGACACTGCAGACACTGTAGTTTTACAGATGTTCCCAGGAGAAACAATGCCATAAAGGATACAAAAATATAGTCATCCATGTATCGCTTCTTTAGGTTCTCCACTATAGAGTCCTCTGTGATTTTGGAGAGAAGGACCATATCGTCCACTCCACTCTGCTTGACATTGTGGCTCTGCCAGTGGTATCTGTAGTGTCCTTTGCTTCCCTGCAATACAATAAACAACAACAAAGTTGTTATGCTTCTCATTGGCACTAAACAACTGCAAACCATCCACTCCAATCCCAGCTTCCCAAATATTTTCCTCATGTTGAATTCTATTGCTTGATATATAAACCACATCAGCTTTCCCACTCTCATCCATTAAGCAAAGCATTGCTCTGCCCTCAAAGATCAGAACGTAGCTTGATGAGGATTTTTAGGTGTCTACACACAGACGGTCTTTCAGATGGCAGGCATTTTCACAAACCATGTTATTCCAACTGAGATATAATTATGGGAAGCTAAGGACGCAAAAATCATACTTGTGCAGTGCAACTATTACGGCGAGGACAATTAATAATCTGAACTATTAAAATGTGATGTTGGAACATCTCCAGCCTTTGCAGCGCAATCTGGACACGTGCTGCTGCTCAGCTGGGCGCTGGGGTCCCTCGGCGATGCGCTGTGCTGCCTGGCAGGCTGCGTGTCTCAACAGCCCCTTCCGATCCCTTAGTCATGGCACTTAACTGACATCTAAATAGACATTTGTTCCTCACTCTGAGACTACTATTTCAGGATGCTCCTGAAAACTTGTGACATTTCAAGTCATACCAGCTGAAACCAAAATCTGTTTTCTCCAGCTCATTTGAACAGTAGCTAGATTCTGTGATACACTCAGAAAATCATTAAAATTCACTCCAGATCAATGCAATTAGCTGAGCTGATCCCAAACCCATTCCCTGCAGTCTATCAGAAAAATCAATTCTGCCCTTTTGCATTTTTTTTGTCAAACTTTTTTTGCATCTTACTGAAATCAGTAATGCTGAAATTAATACTTTTTACGCAGGCACATTATCGTGTATGCTGTAAAGCACCTAAGGAAGATGTGGCCAATAGAATGACAATTTGATGTATTCCCCCCATCTCTCAACATCACAATTTCAAACACTGAGATTTGGTTACAGCCCTCCCATGCATTTTATAGGGCAAACATATTCACCAGAATGCAAGCAAGTAACTATTTCAAACTATATGTTAGAATAAGATAACACACAGTTACACACTGTAAATTATAAAATTCTGATAGTGGGAATGGTACAGCTACAAACAAGCATTTAGCTGTTGGAGTCAGTGATTTACGGAGGCCCACAGCACTTCCATACTAGCCAATGACCTATGCCTCTGTAATAGTATACAAGGTGCTTCTAACAATTATTTGCCTCATGCAAATAGGAATGCACCTGTACCAACACAAGGTATAGGGGCAGGAACGAGAACTGGAGACTGGAGAGTGCAAGGCTAGTTTGGTAGTGCTGGCTAAAAGTAGTAAGTTTTTTCCACAGACTTTGTTGAAATTATTAGGCAGGGGGAAAAACCCATCCAAGACTAGTGATGACATAGATTTAATGCATGCTAGCATATGCAGTGCTTTGAATGCCTATGTAGCGGCTTCATCTCAACCAACCAACCAAACTGATATAAACAACAAGGACTAATTGAATTTTTATCATAAGTTGGATTATTTGGGCTAAGAACAGACCCATTTGCCCACTGTGGACTCCCCCTTAGGGAATCACAACTCCTTGGCTTGGCTCCCCCACTGCTAGCTATGCAGAACAACTGTAATCCTGAATTTGAAAGAACATGTTTAAATGTAAAATAGCAGAGGTAAATATATTTGAAAGACTACAGACTTAGCAAATCTCTTGAACATATGCAACCTTACATTAACTTATTTAAAATAACAATCTTAAATTCATTTTGTTTGCATAAGACTTGCCAATTTTCTATTTGCACAATGTAAGAAATGATCTGGAAGCACCAAAAATGAAGCAACCAACTAATTTGGGGAATTTTTTGCAGGAGATGTGACTGAAAGATCAGCTGAAGGTCAGGCTATTTGAGAAAACAGAAGTCCAACAGTAGCGTATGATTTTCCTCAGTGTGTTTATCAGCTGTTTCAGATATTATACTTGGAAAAAGGCACCAGCAGCACGGACAACGCGGCGCAGTGTCAGGCGAAGCACAGAGGATGACACTCATCACGAAGTGGTGCAGAACATTGTTGAATAACAGATAATTGAATAAACCAGAGGAAAAGTGTACGAAAGGAGACGGTCGGGAAACAACAGGCCCCTGTTGCGAGCAATGCTATCAAACCGTAACTGATCAAGTAGAACAACAACTTCACAGAAGAGGACAAGAGCTTCATACATTAATCCTAACGACAGATATGGTTGCATTACAAATGAAGATGCACTAACAGTGGATGGAAAAGGACCTGCTAACAGCACAGAAACTCTGAGCAGTACGATAGCAAGCTGGAAAACCCCGCAGAGCAGTATGATAGCAAGCAGGAAAACCCTGCATGTCATCCCTGCAGAAAGCAAGCCCTGCAGCGCTCTGCAAAGAGCTACAAATAAACCAAGACAACCAAGCAAGCAGGTTCTAATAACAACAAAGAATAGCAAAAGTAGCAGTTGGAGTAGTGATTCATAAAGTTTGAAGTGCTGTTCACAAGCTGCCTGAAACATTAACAGCCACCAGGACAGACACTGATCTTATGTGGTCAAAAGTGAAATTTTTCATCTCTGAGTCTCCTGGACACACTGCATCTTCTGAGATTAATTTTAACTCTGGACAGAAGAGTAACAAAATCCATTCTGGATTTTAATCCTTCTTTGAGCCTCGATGCTTTGCATGGATTTCATCCTTGCAATGCCTGCATACGAGAACAAACTAGCAGAATAATTTTTAAATGGGGATCATAGTGATTTTGGTTGTTTCATTAGACTACATTTTCACAGAACTTGGATTTATCAGTGCCTTCACTACTATAACCATGATTTTAGCATGAACTAATGAGGCAGGTTGTTCTGGAGTAAAACCCCGGGGGAAGCGAAGGACACTGAGCGGGGAGGGCGGCCGCTCCAGGCTGCGCCGCTGCCGTGGCTGGGGCGGAGCTCCACTGCCGGGACCGGGACCAGAGTCGGCCTTGGGCCAAGCTCTCCCACCACACAAACACGCGGGTGCCAACGCGGAGCCCCCCGGAGTCTCCTCCTGCTTGGCTTTCCCTGGGCTGCCTTGGGGAGAGATGCGATCTAGCTGCACCACAGACCAACACACACAGCCTCTGGGCCAGCCCCAAACAAACACCGGGGAGCTGGAAAGAGGTGAGCCCGGCTGATCTAGAAAATGCAACCAGGAAAACCACACGGGCAGCCTGCAGAAAGCCCGCGGCCACCGAGCCTGGAAGGAGGTCAGGGAAGGGGAAAGGGCACTGCCCAAGCCGGCGGCTTGGCTCGGCCCTGGCCGCTGTTTCGGGCTCCAGAGCAGAGCAGCTTTGTGCTTTGGCAAGCAGGATATCCGAGCTGAGAGCCTGTCTGCGCCGGGCCGCTCCCGCACGGACAGCAAATCCCTGTCACGGGGGAGTCCCTCGTGTGAATATTCACCCAGCTCTCGCTGCTGCCCTCCCTGCCTTACACTGGCAACTGCTGCTTTCTCCATTCTGCCCCATTAATTGTTTGCATATTTTTGCAACATCCAAAGCAACAAGTATTTGATGTGCCTATAAAAAGATTGAGTCATGCTGTGTCACAACAGGGGGGTTTAAATGGAAAAAAAAAAGCAAATATTTTTGTATTTTAAGCCACTTAAAAATAGTCTATCTAAAAATAAAGCACTAAAAACAAGGGATAAGAAGAGACCGCATATTCAGTTCCTGAGAAAGTGCCTTCTCTCTCTCTCTCCTTCCAGCAAAATTGCATCTGTCTAAATTCCAAAAATTTAAAAATCATTAAAAAAAAAAAACACCCTCCAGGTTTCCACTGAGGGACAGACTGCCTCCTTGAGCTCCCGGCAGCTCTTTCCTTTCTGCAGTGAATGTGCAGAGTGTCCCTGGGCAGCTGCGGAACTCGGCCCGTGGGGTGAGTGGCCAAGCACGCCCTCACGTTCCCTGTGCTCAGGACCCTGCGCTCAGGTTCGACGCAGCTTTCTGGCCATCGCATAAAATCCTTGCGGTTTGAGCGCACTTGTCCCTCCATCCCGGCCATGGTACGTACTCAACGCTAGGCGATGCCGAGCCAGCTTTTCAACCAGAGATCTCAACGCAAAAGACGCTGCACACCTTTTGTTCAACTCTGACATGGGCGCTTCTGCCAACAAAACTACTAGTTTTTTCCACCTCAAAAGCAAAAGTCCAAGAAAAACAAACATAAGCAATTTACATTGATGTAATATGCCAAAACAGTCAACTTTTACAATCCATTTGTAGGAATCTTGCACATATTTCTATTAAGCGAAACAGTCTGCTATTCTCAGAAGAAAAAGTTTAGAAATACTGTTAAGACATATTTCCATCTCAGATTGGCATGATCGAAACTGAGGAGCCATAGCAGACAGCAGTGTTTCAAAATCACTAGAGTATGTATAAGCTTGGAAAAAAAAAGAATATTGGTTGCAACGATGGGACCATATTTCAGCACGGAACTGAAATGAAGACAGCAGAAGTAGCTAGATGGACAAAGATAAAAAGCAAGTTATTTAAATTAAACATGAGGGAAACATTAAGGGAGGTAAAAAGCAGAGCTTAAAGATTTGAGGAAATAGCAAAGAAATAATATTGAGCATTGAGATGCAGGGCACACCTTTTAAACAAAGAAAAAGAAACATAACAAAGATTCATTAAAGAATAGAAATTATGAGCAGTCAATATCCCCTAAAGGACAGCTAGGGAAATAAAACAGGGAGAAAAACATTTCTGGGAAAGGAAAAGGCAGCAGGCTGGCGTTGTGCTCTCGGACGGGAGAATCCGGCCCGATGCGAGCACAGGGGCTGCCCGTCCCAGCGCGGGTCACGCCGCAGCCCTGCCAGGCGTCGGGCGGACATGGATGTGGGAGCTGGAAACACGAGCTGTGCCCGCCACGCAGCCCGGCGCCCACCAGCGCCCGCAGCTTCACACCTCGCCCTCGCTTCAGGAAAGGCCCCAGCGCCTCTGCAAGA